TGTATGGGAGGTTCTACACACCCTTTAGATATTGGTTTTGTTTTAGCCTATAACCATTATTGGAAAACTTGTGTCCGAAATTTCAAAAAAAGCCGGTATGGGCATTGTGACTCCTCAAGCGAAATGAACTAATGATTGCAAAAAATGAAATCAAACATCGTAGTTGACCAAAAAAGAATATTAGACTTGATTCTCTCAACTTCTCAGAATGTAGAAAAGCTAAGAAATATATAATAAGATAGGATATATTAAAACAGCCTCCAAGACATTTACTAAAGACGCCCCTGGACTACACAAATCAGATTTATTGAAAATTTGTTTTTATCTATTTATTTGATCCTTCAATTTTGGGTGTGTCAAAATTTCATGTGAAAACAATATGTGTTGCTAGAAAACTCTTACGGCCCGTGGGTTCCAAAGTAAATTTCATTGCTGTTAAATGGACAAAGACAATAGCCGTCATCGATTCGCCAACATTTAGCGAGTGGCGAAACGAACGAACTCAATGAGGTACAACCAAACTCGCTATCGTCTATCCGTGCTAGATAACTTTGTTGTTGCTTTCACATGCAAAATTCTTCTTTAAGTGACCGGAACTCAAACATAGCGAGCGAGAAGTGGCGAATCGATGACGGCTAATATGTATTAAATAACACATCGAAATGTGTAGTTTCAGTAATTTGTGTAAATGTGTAATTTCAGAATTACATCAGAATCACGTATCCGATATAGAAAACTACATTGTGAAATAATGAGATGACATGACGACACTAACATAATTTTAAAATATGTTCACTAAAATTGTATTAATATTAAAATAATGATTTGGCAAGTTGTTATCGAATTTAATGTAAAATTTCTTTATTTTTATTTTCTTATAATTTCTTTATAATCCCAAATTTAGGATATAAAATGTCCCACACCAAAAAACTTACAATTGGGTAATGCCGCTTCGAATTTTTCACAATTGAGCAGTTGTCAAAAATCTGCTTTTTAATCAAAAAGTTGTTTATTGAAACTACCTTCTTTTTTGTATCATCGATGGACCCTTACATTCTATTACATAGATTCGAGAAAGCCGCTATGCACGAAATATTTGGATACAGTTTGCCTAAAATTAAGAAACGAATCCATCAACCTAGGCACTCTTGGGAAAATGAAAATTTGCTGTTGAAATTATATAATTAAGTTGTATACTTTATTAGTTTCTTGTTAAACTAATATCTGAACTCAGAGGTTAACAGTTTAGAACTTGCCAAATTAAGGGTTAAAGAGAAATTACTTTACATTTTGAGGAAAAACAAGTTTAAATGTCCCACCCGTCACATTGGAATGTCCCATATATGTTTGGATAAAAAAATGTAACAACGAATGAACAGCAAATAAAATATAAAACAATTACACCACAAAATTTTATTTTGCTAGAAATCCCATTATGTGACGTAAAATCCCACGCGCCCTTTTATGGTGTGAAAATCCCAAATTATGGGGAAATCCCACTAGTTGGCAACACTGGTGCTGCCGCTACTGAGGATGGTAGCAAGGCGAATTAATATAAGGCAGTGTTACAGGAGCAGCTGAAATTTTCGCCTCGGTGTTTCGTAAAGAAAGACATACTTAAACGTTGCGACCGTCGATTCAACTTTGTGATTTTTTGCTCTAGATTGCAACGTTTATGGGCCTGTTAAATGAAGTTCTATGAAAGATAAATCTACTTTGATTTTCTGCCAAGTTGTACAACTCGTCGCAACGTTAATGGGCATGTTGTATAACGGCATTCTATTTTGAGTTTATTTTAGTGGTAACTACATAGCAAAAAAACATTATATGTTATATCCATCGATTTAAAGCAACATTTTTCTCCTTTTTGTTATAAATCCTCCGAAATAGATTTTGTAAATCGTGTTTATGCACTGAGTTTCTACTCAAATTCATGAAATGATTTCGTGAATAGGCCTACGAGGTTAAGTAATTTTATGTTTTTATACTCTTGCTACCACATGAATATATCAATTCGTGATAAGAACATATGAATTCGCCTAGGATAGAATACAACGTTGCGCAAAGAGAAGGCGAGTAAGAGGAGATGCCGAACAAAGGAATTTCTCTTCTTTCAACTTAAATAAATGCATTTTGCAAACAAAGCTTCGTCCGTTACTTAACTGCTTCTGCCTTGTACATCTTATTATTACATTAAAAGAGCAATTGTTGTATGTATATATATATCCATAGGGTTCTCGGAAACGGCTCTAACGATTTTGATAAAATTTTGTACACAGATAATGTTTTGGATTTTAAGGCTATCTGAATAGGCATTACCTTACTCGTGTAAGGGTGCCACCTATTCGAAATAAGTTACAAATTAATTAAAACATCATAATATGGAGGTATTTTAATTTTAATATAATTTTAATATAATTTTAAAAATATTTTTAATAGGGTTGCCACCTATTTTGAATCGCACATTTATTTAATTTTCTGTTTAGAAAAAAGGTAAAACATTACCATTCATGGCTACCAAGATAAGGTTCTTAAACAATGCTTTCCCTATATACAAAATGATATCTCTTAGGATAATAGTGTAAGGTTGCCACTTATTTTCGATTCTACACAATTTATCTAAAACATGGCAATATGGATATGAAATGGATGGTATTGTTGAGAACTTTGGTCAGAAAATATTTTTCATCAGGGCTGCCACGCTTCTATGTAATACAAATTTTTATTTTGTTAATTTCAATCAAAATTTGTTTATGTATACGCTCAAGATATGTACCATTCATTCCAGCGTATTTCGGAATAGGGTTGCCAAATAACTTTTAGAGTAAGGAATTTACTTAATAGATATCGAAATCCTTTTTTTTTTAAAATATTTTTTAAAGCTATCCAAATCTTGAAAACTTTAAAAAGTATATGCACTCAGAGCAAAGCTCGGTCAACCTGGTACTTTACATTAAACGAGCAATTCTTGTACATATACATATATATATATATATATATATATCCATAGGGTTTTCGGAAACGGCTCTAACGATTTTGATGAAATTTTGTATACAGAGAACGTTTTAGATTTTGAGGTTATCTGAACAGGCATTATCTCCGAGAAGACTCGTTCAAGGTTGCCACCTATTCGAAATTAGTTACAAATTAATTAAAACATCATAATACGGGTATTAAATAGACGGAATTTTAAAGATCCCTTATTCAAAAATATTTTTAATATTATTGCCACCTATTTTTTGTCGCATATTTTTTTAATTTTTTGTTTAGAAAAAAAGGGTAAACTATTACTATTCATGGGTATCAAGAGAAGGTTCTTAAACAAGGCTTTCCCTATATACAAAATGATATCCCTTATCAAGTGAAAGGTCTTCTTGAGAGTTTTGGTTAGAAATTATTTTCCATCAGGGTTGCCACGCTTCTATGTAGTACACATTTTTAATTTGTTAATTTCAATCAATATTTTTTTATGTATACACCGTATACATACGCTCAAGGTATGTACCATTCATTCCAGCGTATTTCCCCTGCAGTGAAAAGCCAAACCAGTTAGAAAAAATACTAGTTCATTAACTAGTATGTGCCTACCAGTTTGACAATTTTGAAGAACTTAGGCGATCAGCGCCATCTGCCTTTGAATTGCCAAAGCCAAAAATAAAACGCAATTAATTGCTTTTCTTACAAATGTCGGCAGTGGCGTCACGTGAAGACTACTGGTTCTGGTTCTGAAATCGCAGGTTCGAGGCCGCTTGGAGGTGGTTAAGATTTTTAAAGTTAAATAAATGTAAGTAAAAATAATTTATTCAATTTATAAATCAATAAAAAAATTTGAAAATCTAATTGCATTGCCAAAAAACATTTAGGGAGAAATGCTTGTGCTATTAAAAAAAAGGAATTAAACAAAAATATTTTTTTTATTGAATTTAAAAATTACAATAA